ACACACACACACACACACACACAAATAAAATTTAAAAAAAAAAAAAAGAAAAAAGGGCAATTTCACCCCTAAAAAAGCCTCACTGGGGCCGGGGAGATGGCTCAGTGGAATAAGCGCTTCCCTGGCCCACGGCCAGACATGGGCGCCCCAGCAGCCACCCCGTCGGTCTGTTTCCCGCCGACCAGCAGGTGCTGCAGCTTGCTGTGCAAACGGGGCTCACCTCCACTGTCCTCCCGGGGCCCTTCCTCATCTCGCAGCTTGGCAGTCGAGCACCTCCCGCTCCCTTCCGGCGGGACTGCTAGGAGCCAGCGGAGGCCCTGGAAAACAGCGTGACTTTCTCGCGGGCCCGCGGCGCGGGACACCGGCTGGCGGATGCTCTGATAGATCTGCCCGCCCTGAGATCACCAGCTCTCCGTTTTACCAGTGGAACAGCGGAGACCAGAGAGGAGGTGGGCCGGGGCCTCGGAGCGAAGACATCGCTCGCGTACCCGCGGCCCACAGCCCCCTCGCGGCCACCGCTCTCCGGGGACCTGTGAGGTCGTTCCGCGGGGAAGAGCGACCCCTGGTGGCGAGGAGAAGGTGGCGGGTGTCGCTCATTCCCGGGACCCCCCACCCCTGGCCAGGCAGAAGAAGGGGCGTGGCCCGGGACCCGGCCTTAATTTTCTGGAAGATGATCGAGGAAAGCTCCTGGGAGGGTCGGGGACAGGCGCCAAATGCGGCAGCCCCACGTCCTAGCCACATGCCCCGCGATGACCTAGTGACACTGCGCTGCGGCCTCAACTGCACGCGGTGGCTGGATCCTCGCGCAGCAGGGGCCGCCATTAAGTGGCTCTTGGCACATCGCGAGTCGCATTTGCTCCAGTCCGTCAAGGGGTCTGGTACTGAGCCTTCGAGGGCGCAGCTCGCGCTCTAATCCTATTTCCAGACCCGCTCATCCCGCGGGGCAGTGCGGCCTGCAGAGCGACCGTGGCTGCGACCAGCATGACGTCACACCTCACCGCCTCTTCTGGGAGCCCAGGCCTGGAGAGGGAGTCTGAGCAGCGCCTTTCTGCACCGAGTGACGAGTGACAAAGGGCTGCGTCCAAGGCTCCAGCAAGCCCCCTCTAGACAAAGGGCTTTTAGATAGAAGCATTCAGGCCTTTCCTGTGACCTTGTTCCATAGCCAGGCTTCTGTGGAAATTGATGCTTCCACTCAAATCAGGAAACTGGATGTAGGAATAGAGGTTTTTGTTTTGACTCCACCCCGCAAGCGCTAAGGATTGAACCACCGGCCTTCTCACTAAGCTATAGTCTCAACCCTTTCTTATGGTTTATTTTCACACAGGATTTCACTAAATTGTCCACGCTGGGATCCACCTTGCATCCTCCTGCCTCATCCTTCGAGTGCTGGGATTACAAGCATGTGCCCAGGACTGGCTCCCCGATGAAAGGGTACAATTTTTTTTTTTTTTTTTTTTTTTTTTTTTTTGGTAACGGCGTTTGAACTCAGGACCTTGTGCTTGCCAGGCAAGCACTT